TATGAATACAGGAAATGGATACGAATAAATGGGAACAGTAGGTGTTGTGGCTCCGTCCTCCGAGCCTATCTTATCGGAGGAAGAAGGCTCCGAACATGAAGGAGAGGAGACGGCCAGGCCTCCCTCTCCAGGACCCTCCTCTCTGGCAATGTCTCCAGAGGACATCAAAGGCCAGACGATAGGCTCAGAGCCAAGCACATCCCCGCAGCTACAGGTGAACAGCGACGAGGAAAATAAGTGCTGGCTGGACCCTCGCCAGAGGCACAGGGAGAAACGTGCGCAGCAGAGGGGAAGGCGTGCCAGAGATTAGCTGAGTCACTGGAGCACACCCCACAGGCTATAAAAGGGAGTGTGGTGGCCATTCCGACTCTGTGACGGACAAAGCTAATCTCTGGCGAAGCACTTTGCACCTTCGGACACAACACCTATTTTGCTGTGGGTTCAATTACGAACTGTGTGTATTTTTTGTCTGTGTTATCGGAGTAAAAGCCCTTGGCAGGCAGCCACGGAGTTGCTGCCAAGTTCCTTATCACTGACATTGTGTGTTTGAAAGGTTTATTTAACCCTCGGCTGGCTGATTGGGTGTGTGCTTGGTACGGGGACAGAACAGTAGGACAGGGACTGTAGGCACATTGGTGCACTTATGCACGCTCCCTTACAGACCTCTTAGGAATGGGGTGAGGTTGACAATAGTCTAAGGTTAAAGTTTTCGGGGTTTGAGGATGTAACAACAGAGTCAGGTAATGCAGTGCAGGCATTGACCACTCTGTTGCGGAAGTCATATTTTCTGCAATCGAGTTTGGAGAGGTTTACCTTGAGTTTGTATCTATTGTTTGCCCATGTATTATTGCGGTTGAACCTGAATATGCTTTCAAGATGCACTGAGAAATGTGCAATTTTAGCTAAGCATTCACATAGCTGAATTAAAGCCTGAAATTGTTGAAATTCCACTTGTTGATAGGAAATTGATGTACCGGTTGCTATTTACCTAAGAGAAACTGAGGTAAAATCAGTGTTATTAAACATAAAAATTATATTTTTATCAAGAGGCTTAACCCCCCACCTTTTAAAAAAAACCTTTCAACATAATAAGCTTCTTGTCATTTTTAGTTATAATATACCTTTGAACCACTGAAAAAGGCTTGCAATATAGGCCTTTTGACTAAATGTTTGCAGATCATCTCACCTGGAACTGAAAAATATGATTTTGCAGCAATATATTGAAAGAAACTAAACAGTAAATAGAGTATCCAGTGACAAGTTATCCAACGGGCATTAATTATTACAATGTTTCAAGCCTTTTTCCGTGACCTTTGGAACTAATTAGTATAACGAGATTGATATTTACAAGTGTTCTATTTCTTTACAAATTAATAAGACTGATTTTGATAAATAAAAATATATAACTATATAAACCCTTTTAAATAGTTATTGCAAGCATATATTCCTAAAGAAAGATCTCTATGGTTTTAATCAATATAAAATAAACTATGAAGACTTTTAAAATATACTTTGTAGTATAAATGTAATTAATGTAAAGGCAATTTTCAATAATGTTGATTTTATATCATTACAGACATATATAACTTTGCATTAAAATGTAGATGTTACCATCAATGTGTGAAATTAGGCATTTTATACAATTCTTAGGAAATCTATAGAATGCCAAAAATGGGACCTTAGAGTATGAAATGCTTAATATTTCATAGATTTCCTAGGCCCGTGATGGTGAACCTATGGTATGCGTGCCACAGGTGGCACGTGTAGCCATATCAGTGGGCACGTCAGCTCAGCTCTGGCGCACATGCGCGTGCCGGCCACCTGATCAGGCCTTCTGGGCCCACCAGAAGTAGGGAAAAAGGCTTTTTCCTGCCTCCAGAGGGCCGGTGTGTGTGTGTGTGTGGAAGGCCCATTTTTCTTTCTTACCTGGCTCCAGATCCTCTCTATACATCTGCGGAGGGCGAAAACAGCCTTTCCCACTCCCTCGGACGCCCTCCAGAGGCCTGAAAGGACCCATTTCCCAGCTCCCAGTGGGACAGGAAGTGATGTTTTTTGCTGTCCCACTGGGGGCTGTTTTTGCCCTCCGCAGATGCATAGAGAGGATCTGGAGCCAGGTAAGAAAGAAAAATGGGCCTACTAGGCCATCGCATGCAAGGAGCAGGGGGAGGGAGGGTTGTGTGCGCATGCGCAGGGCAGGGTGCATAGAATCATGGGTGTGGGCACGTGCGAGTGCAAACCTCCCCCCCTGGCATGCGATGGCAAAAAGGTTAGCCATCACTGTCCTAGGCATTCAATGCAATGCCAAGAGGCAAAGCAGCAAAGTATAAAATACTTTTGCTAAAATGCCTTTCTAGCAACAAATAGGTCAGTATCAGTCTTTTTCTATTGGGGTTTTTTTTTTTTTTTGCCTTATTTCACTGTTGTTGGAGTAGTTGGAGGCTTCCCAAAAGTCACCCTGGTTATCTTTTCCCAAACCAAGCAGTTTACTTTCATAAAGAACTTAATATCATTTAATCTTTGTAGAAGCACACGATCATTGCTGTCTTGATCAACAGTATGCTTGTTTGGGGGTTTAGCCAATCCAAGCCACTGTGGCTCAGTGAAGAAATAGAATATAGTTTTTAATAGAATTCTTTATTATTTATAATATTTATTTTTATTATTATTACTATCATAAATATGTTTTTTTTAAAATAAACAATTATTTTATTATTATTAATATCAGAATGAAAAATAAGATTCAGAGTATACTTGTTATTTAAAGACAGACATATGTAGTTAACATAATACCTTTACAGGTGGTCATTGTTTAGTGATTGTCTTGGACAGCAGCTATGGTAGCTGGCCAATGAATTTTATCACCTTATTGAATTATCTGCCTATCAGAGTTTTCCTGAAGTGGCAAGTTTAACAAAGCTTTGGGCTTCATTCACTTTCTTAGCTTTTAGATTCTTTAATCTCCATTGAAATGTGACACTTATATGGTGTTTCTTGCCAATACTGTTGGAGTTCAACTCCCAGCATCCAAAATATGGGCTCAAGCCTAGACAATCCAGAATATTTTTTGGGGACAAACTTTATTTTTAAACTGAGCATAAATGAGGCAAGTTTAAATCTCTTGAAAATGAAAGAATGCCAGGTTAGTTCTTTTAAGCAAAGGCCCAATAAAGGTTCCCCTCGCACATATGTGCTAGTCTTTCCCCACTCTAGGCGGTGGTGCTCATCTCCGTTTCAAAGCCGAAGAGTCAGCGTTGTCCGAAGACGTCTCTGTGATCATGTGGCTGGCATGACTAAATGCCAAAGGCTTGCATTTTTTACGTGCTTTTGAACTGCTAGGTTGGCAGAAGCTGGGACAAGTAATGGGAGCTCACTCCATTATGTGGCACTAGGGATTCAAACCGCTGAACTGCCGACCTTTCGATCGACAAGCTCAGCACTTAGCCACTGAGCCACTGTGTCCCTTAAAGGCCCAATATTTACTGCTTTTTGGGGCAGTGGAAAGCAAGGCTTGAGCTTCTCTGTTCACTCTCCGTATGTATAAGTAAGTAAAAGAGATGATAATTAGTTTTACTGCCAAATTCAATAGGAAGAAGCCACAAGGGGAAAAATGATTCTAGAGAAACAAACTTTTCTGATTCTGTCACCCCTACTAGGTAGACCAGATCCATAGCAAGACTACTTGAATTGTGATTTATAATAACAGCATCCTGCATCCTGATTGTGTTGCTCTTCCTCCTCCATCTTATTTTCCAGTGAATCGAGCTTTTCTGAGCTTTTCCAAATGTTATCTTATTTTTTCTCTACATTCAACTGTATAGATGGAGTATGAACTCATATAGGAAAGTGAAAAGGTATTATCCTGAATACGGTAGCTGCAAAATGTGAGGATGCAAGCTGAAAACTACTGAGTGCATGCTGTCAGTGACTGTTTCCTGTTGAGTGAGCAGGGACAGTTAAGGGAATATAAGGCAGCCAAGTTCTAGTAAGTAGATTCTCTTGTTGAGTAAACAGGGAATACGAAGGGAAGTGTGCTGGTGGAATCAGCTAGAGAATTTCACAGTATGTATTTGACTATCCTGAAAAATTAAAAGGGAATTAAGAAAAAATAAAAGCCCTTTTACTGGTAGTGATTTTTTTTAAAAAACGAAGATAGGTTTCTCCATTCATAATGTGACTTGCAATTTTTATGTCATGTTACTATTTTTATCTAAACAAAACCTGGCACATATTTGCCGTAGGTGCACACTTGTGGTTATTTTTGAAGAAAGAACCAAACAAACAAATCTTGGAACAGCGAGAGGCCAGAGTACATCTTGCAAAGGAGAATGAAGATTTTTTTTTTTAGAGCAAAGGAAAGATGTCCATGATAAATCAGTTGAACAAAAGATTAAGTTCGAGAGATGAGAGTGATAATTACAAACAAGAGACCTAGAATATTCTATAATCCAATGGAATTCAGTCAGGCCCTCAAGAGAAAAAGAGGCTTTGATTCTCCAATGGAAGAAAGTGAGAGTCTTTGGAACAACAATAAGGATAGTAGATATCTGAACAGCAAGAAAACACAGCTGTATCATTCAACTCGTAATTGTAAAAAGTACAGGTTAAATGACAGTTATCTCTTCCTTCTAATGTGTTGGGAGTGGCAATATATTGGGGGTGGGGAATGACACTGGAATACTGTTACAATTATTTCATCATGGACTCTGAATACCTAGAAAGAAAGCTTAATATGCTGGAGACTTAAGCAATACCATCTACCAGTGGTGGGTTGCTCCTGGTTCGATCCGGTGAACCAGTAGTAAAACTGATAGGAGGCTCCGCCCATCAACCTGTTATGGAAGAAAGGATATAAGAGACATCCCTTTGGGTCCGCCAGAGCTAGTTTATTGCGCAATAGGTTCAGAGAGGTATGCGTACCAAAAAATCTGAACAATTTTATGATTCTGAGACCACAGTTTTATACATTTTCAAACAAAGGATTCTGTTAACTCAGCAGTTTATATGGTCATATACATTTGTTATATTTAATTGACATTTCCTAATTACTAAAGTTTTACATTATCCTTGCCAAACAATCATAATTCTTCTGTAAATTACTGGAGCATAGATTCAAATTATCTTCTGTTGATAAACGACTTCTAGCTCATGTGGATACCTTTGACCTTACCAACCTTTAAGCTGTATGTCATTAGAATGTTCCTATCTTCTGACAACTTAAGAGGCCACCTAAAGGTATCAAAAGGATTTTGGCTGACTTTGTACTTTTTCCAACCGGATGCATTTCCTGCTTTTAGAATAGAGTGAATAGAAAGTTATCCAGTGGTCATCTATCAGATCCCGCTTCATCTACATTAAACCCGGACGTCATCATAGACAATCTGCGCATGCACAGAAGCTCGTGTGCTCCCATTGCGAACTGGTAGTAAAGGTAAATAGAACCCACCCCTGCCATCTACCGTTTCATTGAAAAAAAAAGATGGAAAGAGAAACTATAAGTGAACAGTTGGCTAGGAAAATGAGGTTGTAAATAAAGATTTGGTTTCTGAGACAACAATTTGAGTAAATTGGATGATAGTTGACTGATAATGGAATGAGAAGCTCAATCAGGAAGACTTTGAACTGAATCCTGTGGAATGAAAATAACTGTGAAACAAATCCTGAAGTAAGGGCCTCACAAAAAGACTTATCCAGTATAGAGTGCTGTTGTATATGTGTAACTCCCAGAAGCTCCCACATAATCATCCATTTGAGAGTGAAATCATGATGCGCGTAGAAAAGCAGACCACTAATACTTGTGTCACCATTTGCTGCCTGTTGCTTCTCCCTGCACCAGATACCAGAATGGAAATTAGATCATTGTGTTTATGGCCATTGTCTGCAAACTAATGTTTCAGTTATGGGAAATAAATGAAATTAATTTGAAAATGCAGGAAGACAAATATAATTTAATAATTATAACAGGATGATGCAATGACTCCTATAACTGACCTATAATAATGAAAGCCTATGATTTATTCACAAGGAAGAGATGTGACAAAAGGATAAGAAGTGTTGCACACAGTTAAAGACATTCTTTTGCCACTTCAGTGAAGGTTTAATGATACAGCAGAAAATATCCCAATTAAATAAATGGAAGAACAAGTAAAAAAAATTGTTATTGGTGCTTATTGCATAAGATATTACAAATATTTCAAAGATGCATGAAGTAAACTTAGTGAGAGAATTTAATTACCCTTTCATCTATTGGTGACAAACTGTACCAAGGGTGGTCCTTACAGGAAATTAATGACTTTTCATTTTGATGATTTTATCCTTTGAAGGTTTGAGAAGAGGAAAAAATATATTAACTAATAGGAAAAAAAAAACATGTTTCAAATATCTTAAACATTCTTTTATTTATTTGTTTGTTTATTCACATCTTTCCAGAAAGTTTAATTACTCATTGCCACATATTAGAAGATTTACTCTAATGCGGAAGATAGTCAGTGAGCTACAATCCTGATGCAACTAAGTCCTACCTACATTAGACAGCTTTGCCAATGCATTATGCCCAGTTGGCACCACACCTCACCACCATCATCAATAATGAAGAACTCTTTATTAGGAGCCTGGATAGCTCTGCAGACAAGGCACTGTAATTTAACACCAGCTGTCTGCAATTAAAGTAAGTTCGAATCTTGCCAGGCTCAAGGTTGACTCAGCCTTCCATCCTTTCTAAGGTAGGTAAATTGAGGACCCTGTTTGTGGGGGCAATAAGCTGACTTTGTATAAAATATACAAAAGTATGAAGGCTATTGCTTAACGCACTGTAAGCTGCCCTGAATCTCTGGAGAAGGGCGGCATATAAATCAAATTAAAAAAAAAAAATTAGGAGATTTCATATTATTGAAGCTTAAAAATAAATAGAAACAATAAGATTTTCCTGGTACCCACAAAATCCCCTGATTAGAAAGAGCCAAGATATACCAAGATATACTGAGTTAGCAAAGTAAGCTTTTAGATTTTATTCTCTAAATGAAATTTAGGGTATGATAGTCCTTAATTTACAAACATTCATTCAGTGACCATTTGAATTTACAATGGCATTAAAAAAAAGTGACTTATGACTGTTTTTCAGACTTTTCACACTTACCACCCGTGGTTGGATGATCAAAATTCAGGCACTTGGCAACTGGCATGCATTTGTGACAGTAACAGTATCCCAGGGTGATGTGATCACTATTTGTAACCTTCCCAGATGACTTCTAACAAGCAAAGTCAATGGGGGAACCCAGATTCATTTAACAACTTCATGATTCGCTAAACACCTGCAGTGATTCGCTTAACAACTGGGGCAAAAAAGGTCATAAAATAGGGCAAAACTCACTTAACAACTGCCTTGCTTAGCAGTGTAAATTTTGGGCTCAACTGTGGCTGTAAGTTGAGGACTATCTGAACTATTGTTTAATTAGGAAGATTTATGTTCTTTCCTGAATAAATTGAAGATGGTGTGCTTTCCTCAATCACATTTTCTCTGTCTTAAAAAAATGGGATAGAATAAGTATTTTGAAAAGTTTTTGTGGTGAAACCCTAGAGCAGGGATGTCAAACTGGCAGCCTGCGGGCCGGATGCGTTACGAACAGGCCACGCCCACCCCAGCCCACGTAAAGAGAAAAAACATTGTAATACATCACAAGATGCCAACGTGATGCCGTGAGTTTGACACTCATGCCCTAGAGTGTCAGGATTGCCAACTATTTTCATTCCCTTCCAACAGAAATGTTGGAACTCCCATCTTTTACTGTTATATTTTAATGCTGCCCAATACAAGCTGGAGTGCAAGGTTTTTCCCCGCCCCTTATCTAATCTTGGCACAGCTTGGTTTGAATTGATTTGGCTTTGAATCCTGAATTGAATTGAATTTTGACCATTCTGGATCATGAACTGAATCAGGTTTAATTTTCACAGTTCTTTTTTAACATTGTAGAAACCATATATAAAATTTGTTACTTGCTGATTAGGTCAAAATGTTACTTTTTCTGTCTGCTGTGCATATCAAACAGACTGGAAGAAAGATAGGGAATGGAAAATAGGGAGGGATAGAGGTTTTGGAAAACTAATAAAGAAAAGATAACAAAAAAGTTTTTTTTAGATTTGAAGTCATGTGTTTTTTTTTTTTTTTTTAAAGAATGGGAAAGACTCAGAGAAGGAGAAAGGATGAGAGATAGGATTAAAGCAGAGACCTTTATAGGTTCATTTATACTATACACTGAAGAACAAGTAAATCTTGGTTGGAGGAATAACAGCAATTCTGCTCAAAAATAGCTTTTAAACATAAATACACTTCCACAACCAACAACAGCAGCTATATTTTCTGACATTAAAAATATATTTCTTTAGCTTTGTTTTCTGCATGCTGGTATTTACTGCTCTGAGCAGCTGTGGGGAGTGGCACCAGCAAAGGTTTTTCTCCTCTCTGAAAAATTGCCCTGGTAGAATGTGTATTGGTAGGTTTAGTTCCCCCCAAAAATGGCTTATGCCATTCTTATGTTATATGCCAGGGGTATCAAACTCAAGGCCCAGGGGCCAGATGTGGCCCATGGGGTGCTTAGATCTGGCCCACAGGGCCACCCTGCAAACAGTGAAAGACCGGCCTGCAGTTCCTCTGCCAGTGAAAATGGTCTTCCGAGCTCTTCTTTTCGCTGACAGAGAGTTGCAGGAGACTATTACACCCAAAAATGGAGCTCGGGAACCCATTTTTGCTGGCAGAGCGCTCAGGCCACCACAGGTGCCCTCACACGAGTGACATCGAGCTGGCCACGCCTACCCCAGCCACGCCCACACCAGCTCCTTGAGGTCAAACACAACCCTGATGCGGCCCCCAATGAAATCCAGTTTGACACCCCTCTTCTATGCTCATGTAACCTCTTAGATGCCAAAAACAAAACCAAACAGGTTGAAAGACTGAATGTTTGTTGTTGCTTCAGTCTCACCATCAGATATGGAAGGTGGGATTACTTACTAATTAATTAACTACTCCTATTTTGCAAACATCTGTCTGAGGCCTGATGAGGCTTAGTGCTTTCAAGTGATAATTTTTTAAAAAAATTAATGGATTGTCTATTGGAGAATTGGCAGATCACTATGAAAAGCTACATTTTTTTCTTTTTATTATAGAATTTAAAAAGTAGTTTGCTATTTTTGTGTCATGCCTGGCTTGAATCACATATTTGATTCTGAATAAATTCCTACCAAGCCATTATAGAGGTCTTCTTCTCTCACAACTCACTAGAAACTCTAGGCAGCTCTAGAAAGAATAACTTCTTTTGTGATTGTACAAGATTTTCTTTCTTTGGAATGTATTTACAGCAGGAACCTCCCTATGGAATTCACCATCTGGCGTTGCATTACATTCAGCTGCCTGAGGGACAACTGATCAACCACATCAAGGGAATCTTGATTTAGATTTTGAGCACAAACAAGAGGATCTCTAACCCAACCTTTTACAATTTGATGTTCCTGCCAGAAGTGTTTGGAGCTTCACCCTCAGCATTCCCTGCCTGTAAGCCGATCATGAGTTCATAGAGTTGGCAAAAGCTAATCTAGGTCCTTGCATTACATCATTGTGCTAGAATAAACTCATTTAAACTAACTGATTTCCACTATTTTTGTAATATGCTGCTTCTGCTGTGTGGGGAACTGCATTGTCCTCATAGGGAAAGAAGATAAGAATGAGCAGATAAAGTAAGTATTCAAGAAATTATGTTCTCATAGAAAATAATGCTCAACTCTAGTAGGACTAGGAAGAATCTAGTAGGACTAGGACTAGGAAGAATTTTAGGACACCCAGTACTGTAGACCTTCCATCCTTAGTTCTGGATGCGTTATAAATCTTTTATTTATGAACTCTCAGTTCTTGCTTGAGGAGCAGGTGGCAGCAATGCCCATGGCTGCATTTGTACAAATTCATCTTCTGTGCCAATTGAACCCATTCCCAGATCAGGAGTTTATCAGTCTTGGTCTTTAGTCAGCTCCCAGTTGAATTACTGCTATGCACTCGGAAATTGCCTTTGGCAGGATGTGGCAATTATGGGTATGCCTTGGTACACCTATATTACACTGTTACTTCGTGCAATTCAGGATGCTGGTTATCATGACATAGGGCTGTTTATTTGTGGGACTGCCTGCCCCCCTCCAAATAATTTCATCTATCCTACTGGATTTGATAGAGATGGCAGGCTTCGTGTGTCTTCTCTGAAGATATGCCATCTGTTATAATATGTGCATGCCCTATAGAAGAGTTTAGATCCCTCCACCCCAAGAAATTCAGAGAATCTCAATTTATTGGCTTGTCAAAGTGTATTGAATACCTGCCTGTTCCAGTGGGCATTGGACCAAGGTATTGAATGAGTTCTACTTGTCTTAATGGATGCTTTGTAGGCATGAAGGCTTGTCTTCGGCTACTCCTTGGGGTTTTCTAGTGTGCACGGGGGGGGGGGGAGCAGAGAGTCTATTTTTATTTCCATTTTTAAATGTGTTGTAAGTTGTTCAGAGTGCTTTTGAATTGGGTAGCCATACAAATGGAAGAAATAATTAAATAAAAAGAGCCACTCTGCCAAGGCCTAAGAATTATATGTCTGCCAGATTTTCTGCATGATTAAAATAGCATGTGGGTTGCTAAAATACCATCCGTATTTTTTTTTTAAAAAAAGAATGTCTATTAAGGCTGTTATCTTACAGGCAGCAATAATTTAAATTTTATATGTGTAAAAAAGAATGAACTCTTATTTTTATGTAAAAATGATAGATTTCAATGTTTTTGGCAAGAACTCCCACAGAAAACACCTACAGATGCCATTCAGCCTGCAGAAAGGCATAGGTACTTAACGCACTTAAAGAGAACACCTACATGTTGGCCTTGTTATTTCATTTATTACAAGATTAACTTTTTAAAAAACACATTTGTGTATTGGCATAAATGCTAAGGTTATACATGAAATTTCTTCCAGATTAAAATATAAGGAACATTTATTCATGACAACAGAAAGGAAACAATTTTTTTTGTCTCTTCTCAGCATGGAGAACTTGTGTGTATAAGTACATGAATCAGCTTGCCAGTACAAGGGAAGCTTGTTTCCTTGCCAACAAGGATAAATGGACCCTGAGTTAGAATATAATGTTTCTAAACATATGTGAAAAAAGTATGTTTGCATTCTTGTTTTTGGCAATATTTAAGTCACCCTAACACCCTGTACTATCTTTGAACTTTAAGTATCATGTAAGAATGTTATACTTCATAGTCCAGGACATAGCTGGCAAACATAATTTACTTGAATTTTAATAATTAAAATTTAGTTTATAATGAAATTAATGGTTATCATAAAGGCTGTTATTTTTAAATTTTCCCTTTATTTAGATATGAAATTGATTTTGGTTACACTATGATAAAAAAATGAACTCTCTACATGCCTAAAGACTTTTCATTTGTTTTGTTATATCTCTAGAGTGTTATTAAATAAGTTCTGATTTTTTAAAAAAACCTATCCTGATACTACAGTGAGAACTATGTTATTTAATTCAAAGAAAAAAACAGTTGTTTTTGTTTATTAATCTTAAAATCTGCTAATGTACCAAATCTTTCATTTTTCATCAAAAATTCAATCCTTTCCAGACAGTTAATAAAATCAAACCGAATCATCAGCAAAATCTATCAATTTAAAAGTTCTTATTTTTAATTTTTAAGCCCACTATCTTCTTGTCTTGTCTAACAAAACTTGAAGAACCAAATAAACAACAAAGGGGACAAAGGATAACCTTGTCTTGTTCCTTTCAAGTTATGTCAATAATGGTTTAGTCAAATCACTATTGACTACAATTTGATCATTTTGAGATGCATTTATCAATTGGATTTCTTGAAATCAATTCTCAGCAATATCCATATCTTCCCAAACTTCAAACAGAAATACCCAATTCAAATTGTCAAAAGCTTTCTCGACATCTAAGAAGATTGCACAGCTTGATAGACATTCTATCACATTCAGTGTAGTCCTCACATTGTCTTTTAATTTCATTTAGGTAAAGTCAACACTGATCTTCATGAATAAACTATTGTAAAAACTTTTTTAGTTTATCTTCCAAAATTGATAGCAGTTCCATCATTGTTCAATAAAGAAATTGGTCTATAATTCTTAGTAGAAATTAAATCTTGGTCTTTTGGTAACAATGCAATATTGGCCTCTTTCCAAGATTCTGGAATTGCAGCTCCTTGTAAAATGGAATTCATCATTTTCTAGAGTGGTTACAAAAGTTGATCCAAACTGAAATATTAATAGTGCTAACTTCAAGAGTTAAGAAAAAAAGTGATGCTCTGACTGACACTTTTACAGAATCCTATAAACACCATCATCATGCTCAGAAATGATCTCCAATTTCTACGTAATCTACCTGACTTACTTTTTTATATAATTGGGCAATACCTGATTTACACATTATGCTAAACAATAATGTGTTTTCTTTTATTCTGAGCAGTATCACATGTGAATGAATCCATTAAATAATGATGTGCTTCCTTGAATGGGTTCACACATCAGGCTAAAGAGAAAAAACAAACAACTTCATGGTTTAGCTTGCAGTTTGGGTCATTCAAAGAGTCCTTAGAGATAAAGTAAGTAGATAGAAGGTGCTGCTTATACCATAAATCTATTCCCAATTAGTGCAGAAGTTGAAATTACAGCATCCTGCTGTCAAATGACTGTAGGCTTTGCTTGATCATCTCGAGTGAAGCAACTTCCTTTCTAGGTAAGTAGTTTCACTATTGAATGGGTCTGCTAGGAAGGGTTCTTTCCAGTGGTGGGTTTCTACCAGTTCTCCCCGGTTCGGGAGAACTGGTAGTGGCGGTGGAGGGAGGCTCTGCCCACCCGCCCAGATGTCATCATGGACGCTCTGCGCATGCGCAGAAAGTTCTGTGCATGTGCAGAAGTGCCACGTGCTCATGCGCGCTCACAGTTCCAAAACAGTAGCAAAGATAAGTGGAACCCACTACTGGTACTTTCTCCCCTAATATTCTATTAGAATCTTCCTTCTTGTAATTTAAATTCATGATTCTGTGTTTGGTACCCTGGAATGAGAGAAAACATGTCTTATCCTTACTCTGTATGTTACCTTCTCAGGTATCAGAAGAGTGCCATCATCTCCTCTCAGCCTTTCCATCTCTTTCAACGTCTCTGTATGAGGCTTTGCTGTAGTCCTCTGAATCAACTTTGTTGTCCTTCTGTGAACAATTAGGATATATTAGAATAGGTTGGGTTGCAATTCTGACCTAGACAATGAGTAGTATAATCGCCTAATTATACTGCAGAAAAGAAGAAAGCTATAAGATGGATAATCATATGAAAAGAATTGAAAAGTCTATAGTAGTGGCCAAAATTGTGGAAATCTTTTGGAAAAAGTGTATTTTCTAAAACTATCTAATAACACCACTTTTTTTTTTTTTTGAGTAGTACCATAAAATTATATATCAATGGAAAGATAATTTAATCAAGTATGTAATCAGGGGTGGGATTCAACCAGTTCAGGCAAACCGGTAGCTCTGACGATCAGATGGGCCCACCCGTCCGCCCGCACTATTTTCCTACCTTTATCTTCTCAGCTGATTTGCATGACAGAGCAGATGGCCTTGCCTCAGCTGTGTTTCTCCTCCGAAGAAACACGGAAGTGAAGATTTCTTCAAACTGTACATGCGCGCACAAGGCGCACAATCATCGAACCGGTTGTTAAACCGGGGTGATCCCACCACTGAATATAATGCAATAACTTTTATGAAGGATTTGCTATTAGAATAGCAGTTACAGTATAAAGAAGAAAAGTGAAGCACGTAGAAAAAACAAGATATACAAAAACTATCACATCAGTTAATACTTAATTGGGTGACCTTTAGCATAAATTACAACCTTACAACGTCTTCCCATGGAGTGAACCAAGTCTTTTAGTTCTGCAGCTGTTATAATGTGAAACCAAGATTGAATGATTATTTCTATTAACTGGGTTTTATTGCTGGGTCGCTTCTGACTAACAAGTTTCTTTAGTCAGCTCCATAGATTTTCAATTGGGTTTAGGTCTGGGCTATTCCCAGGCCATTCCAGCAGTGGAATATGGTTATCTTGAAACTCAAAAAAAAAAAAAAAAAAAAAGTGATGTTATTAGCCATCAAACCTCAAAAATACACTTTCTCCAAAAGGTTTCCACAATTTTGGCCACTACTGCATTTTGATGCTGATCAGACACTCGGATCTGTTCAACTCCTATTAGCTATGTTAGGATATGGTTGGGCATATTTCCCTTTCTCTGGTCACTGCCCCTTGGGAACACATGGGCTTCGGCTCTGAGAAAGACAAGTTTCCTGTTTATGCAAAGACATCTTCCTGTGTAATTGAACTTTTCAGGTCTTTTTATAAACATATTTAGGATTTATTTTGAAAAAAAATACTAAAGTTCTAGTCCTGGACTGCACAGAAGATCAAGTAAACTGGATCTGTTGGCTACTTATTCCTGGTTCTGTCACTAATTAATGTATTGCAGATTTTCTCTGCTTATGTCAATGAGAGGTTTTGTGTGGATGTACTTTTTATTGTTGTTTCTTTAATAAAGGAAGCAGCACTACCACAGATGTTGCCAGCCTTAGTCACTTACTGCCAGCACTGACTTCCCTTGCAGCATTAAAGATGGAGTTTGCTCAATATCAAGGCCTTCTCCAATTTTATGTTGCATTTTCTCCAAACTGATAGCCCAAGTGAAGATCACAAGCACTCAGAGGCTGCCGTTTGTAGTGAGTCACTTACAAATGGGAACTATCATCAAATTATTTTAGGGAAATTTATTCTTGAGCTGCCAAAACTGGGAGAGCCATTAGATAGCAGCAAATAGTTCTTTAGTTTCCATGCTGCCATCTAATGGCCATGTAGCATTTTGCAGGCAAGATAGCTCTATGGCAGCGGTGTCAAACTCAATTTCATTGAGGGCCGCATCAGGTTGTATTTGACCTCGGAGGGTGGGAGGGTGGGCAGGGGTGGGGGTGGGCAGGTTGGGCGTGGCCATGGTGGGCGTTTGACACAGGCTCAAGATGGATTTTTTCCATTCTTTCTTTCCACCGTTGTTTACTATAACCATTTTCCTATCTCTTCTACCAGATATTACTGGCAAATATTTATTACTTATTCTTCATACTCCACTAAACTTTTTATTTCTAAATTTATACCCTGTTGTTTCATAGTGAATTGTTTTCCAGGCAGAAAAGCTATTTATACTATGGTATTTTTATTATTCAACTAATAATCAAAGTACAATAGTATAAATAACATGATAATACAAGATCTAACAGCAGAGGTAAATTTCCAGGATAGTAAATAGAAATGGCTGTCAATTATAGATTGTTGATTGTAGATTAAATGGACCTACAGTGTGTAAAATCTGGCATTAAACTGTAGTATTAACATAGGATGTTGTTTGTTTTCTATCCAGATCAGGCACTTACTTGAGGCCACATAATTCTAATCCAGTCCTCCTGCAGCACTCTGCCGGCCAAAAACGGGCCGCATGGGGTGTATTTTTGGCCAGCAAAGTGCTGCTGGAGGCCAGAGAGGTCAAAAATGGGCTGCATGGGGGCCTCACAGGGCCTCCATGGGACCCATTTTCAGCTGACAGAGTGCTGCAGGAGGCTGTGGAGGCCAAAAATGGGCCACAGGGGACCACATGCAACCCCCCCCCCGTGGCCCGTTTTGGCTGGCAGAGGCACCACAAGCTGGTGCTTTGATATTTACATCTGTGGGCCAGATGTAAGCACACTGCAGGCCGAATCCAGCCCGCGGGCCTTGAGTTTGACATCCCTGCTCTATGGCATATTGGTTTAACTTGCTTTTAGAGGTTTCTATTTAAATGTCTAAAAAGCAGCTAACCACATTACATGTTTCTTAAATGCAATTATAATTTCATCATATATGTATTACAAAATTGCCATGTTCATTTTCTTTAAGATTTTGCTAACAGATTCTTAAGCTGGCTACATTTGTCTTTGTACATTTATGGTTGTACATTTATAAGATAAAAAATCTTATTAACAAAGGAAGTATTAGTTACTACAGTTACTACTTCTCTTACACACTGCAGGAAATCTT